AGCTTAGTGTCCACAAAAAAGAAGATAGATTTAATAAGGGGGGGAATCTGGAAGCCCCCATTAATAGAAGGGGTCAACATCTACCCCCTCCAAGAAGAATGAGTACGGGTGTAGATTAGTACCTCTTACTCAGCCCCACAAAGGGTTAAAAGAAAAATAAACACCAAATTAAAAATCCAGGGCTCCTTTACACCTGTACTGGGCTTTGGGGGCTTTGGCTCCCCTGAGGCTAAGGAGGGAGCGCCATTAAGGGACAACTTAGTTGGACATCCCTGGTGAACCGGTTTTACTGTCCTTAGGACCTTAGGCCTTGGCATTGGGTTTTCGGTAGAGTGGCAATTGCACTGCCTGTGTGGCAGCAGGGGTCATTGAGATACAGCAATCAACAATAATGACAACAGTATCCATTATTTCACCAGTTTGTCTTACCCGGGGTTTTGTGGAACTCTAGGGTTCCTCCAAAAGTTGCTATTGGTTTATTGGAAGAAAGCAATTCTGTCTTCATCCACTTACATTGATGATAAATTTAAGGGGTCACTTCTTCACTGGCCATCAAAGTAAGGGGTCACATCTGTAATGACCAACAATGTAAGAGGTGACTTCTACACTGGCCACCAATGTACAGGGTCACTTCTACTTTAACTACTGGTGTAAGAGGTCACTTCTACATTGACAACCAATGTAAGGGGTCACTTCTTCATTGATCACCAATGTAAGGGGTCACTTCTTCATTGATCACCAATGTAAGGGGTCACTTCTTCATTGACCACTAATGTAAGGGGTCACTTCTTCATTGACCACCAATGTAAGGGGTCACTCCTAGTTTGACCACCAAGGTAAAGGGTCACTTATTCACTGACGACCATTGTAAGGGGTCCCTTCTACATTGACCACTGACGTAAGGGGTCATTTCTACATCAACCACCAAAGTAAAGGGTCATGTCTACAATGACCAACAATGTAAGAGATAACTTCTACACCGACAACCAATGTAAGGGGTCACTTCTACACTGGCCACCAATGTAAGGGGTCACGTCTACACTGGCCACCAATTTAAGTGGTCACTTCTACACTGGCCACCAATTTAAGGGATCACTTCTACACTGGCCACCAATGTAATGGATCAGTTCTACTTTAATTAATAATGTAAGGGGTCACTTCTACACTGGCCACCAATGTAAGGGGTCACTTCTGCTTTGACCACCAATGTAAGGGGTCACTTCTACATTGACCACCAATGTATAAGGTAATTTCTACATTGACCACCAATGTAAAGGGTTACTTCTTCATTGACTACCAAAGTAGGGAGTCACGTCTACAATGACCAACAATGTAAGAGGAAACTTCTACACTGATGACCAATGACCAAAGTAAAGGGTCACTTCTACATTGGCTACCAATGTAAGGGGTCACTTCTACTTTGACCACCAATGCAAGGGGTTACTTTGACCACCAATGTAAGGGTCACTTCTACACTGACCACCAATGCAAAGGGTCACCTCTACACCAGCCACCAATGTATGAGGTCACTTCTATACTGACCACCAATGTAAAGGGTCACTTCTACACCAGCCACTAATGTAAGAGGTCGCTTCTACACCAGCCATCAATGTAAGAGGTCACCTCCACACCAGCCATCAATGTAAGAGGTCACCTCCACACCAGCCATCAATGTAAGAGGTCACCTCCACACCAGCCATCAATGTAAGAGGTCACCTCCATGCCGGCCATCAATGTAAGAGGTCACCTCCACACCAGCCATCAATGTAAGAGGTCACCTCCACACCAGCCATCAATGTAAGAGGTCACCTCCATGCCGGCCATCAATGTAAGAGGTCACTTTTACACCCGTCACCAATGTAAAGGGTCACTTGTACACTTTAATGTAAGGGGTCGCAACAATATTTGCTGTCTTTTTTTGCAGTTTTTACCCATTTTTTATTATTTGTTTTATCTTTTTATTCAGCAAGCTCCATTTTAAAGTATTTGATTTAAAACCTTACACAACCTACTGATCACATCGACATGCAAGAGCTGTGGTTGTGATTTAGTTGGTGGGGGGGGTTCTTGGGACATAAAAACTTTTTCACGTGTCCCTCTATAATAAAAAGTTAGAGAAAGGCCGTATTATGCATTCATCAACTCCCCACTCAGATGAATATTAAATACAGCGGGACGTTTTTTATGTTCACAATCATGAATTCTCTCTTTACGTTCCTCATTCCGTGGCACTTTTCTGCCACCCCCCGGTGTTTCAGCATCGTCTGAACTTTTGGGACTATTTCTCCTGAATCTAAATAATGTGTGAAATACTCTGTTCAGAGTGCCAGGCAACAGCTGGAGATAAAACTGGTTGAGGTTTATGAGGGGTTTTATAAAGCATCATCAGCATGAGAGTAAAACACAAAGTGCCATGCGGTGGCATCAAGCTTTATGGAGAAGCTCTCACCACCACAGTACATTCGTTGTTTTCTAGCTTTCCGTCTACAGACATCTCTCACTGTCTCCGGGGGGTTCTCCCGGCCTCTTAATCATTCATCAATTCCTCCATCCATAGAAAAGCAGGAGAGGGAACAATGAGCACAAAGGAGGAAAAGTTTAACTGAGAAACTCATTTTTCATCTTCAAGAATTCTCTGCTAAAAATTTTATCAGTTTTGGGTTTATCCTGAACATTGTATTCCACACATTTCCTTCTGCCTGTGCTCTTCATTCTGCGCTTTGATCACCAGTAGATGATGAACTCAACACAAAATGTCTGCAGTTTCACACATATAGAAAGAGCCAGAAAATCAATAAATACATACATGGTGACTACAGATGAGAACAGGACTCATTTCTTTTCCTTTCCTTTCACTTTCCTTTCTCCTTTCCCCTTTCCTTTCTCTTCTTTTCCTTTCCTTTCCCCTTTCCCTTTTCCCTTCCATTTTCCCTCTCTTTTCCCTTTCCTTTCCTTTTCCTTTCCCCTTTCCCTCTCTTTTCCCTTTCATTTTCTTTTCATTTTCCTTTGCTTTTCTTTTTCCTTTCCTTTCCTCTCCTCTCCTCTTCCTTTCTTCATTTGCTTCCATCCCCTTCCCATTTTTTGCCTTTCCTCTCCTTTATCTTTGCTTACTTCCTCCTTTTTTTTCCTTCCCTCCTCATTTCCTTCCTTCTTTCCTTTTTCCTTCCTTCCTTCCTTCCTTTTTCATCTTCTTTTTTTTCTCCTTTCCTTTCCCTTTCCTTTCTTTTTCCTTTCATTTTCTTTTCATTTCCCTTTGCTTTCCTTTTTTCCCTTTCTTTTCATATCCTTCCTCTTTTCCTTCCCTTTCCATTTCTTTTTTTCTTTCCCTTTCCTCTCCTCTCCTTCATTTTCCTTTCCTTTCTTCTTTTGTTTCCATCCCCTTCCCATTTTTTACCTATCCTTTTTTCCTTTATCTTTGCTTCCTTTCTCCTTTTCTTCCTCCCCTTCTTCCTTCCTTCCTTCCTTCCTTCTTCCTCCCTTTCCTTTCCCCTTTCCCTTTCTTTCCTTCTTCTCCTTTCCCTTTCTTTCCTTCAACTTTCCCTTTCTTTCCTTCTTCTCCTTTCCCTTCCTTTCCTTCTTCTCCTTTCCCTTTCCCTTACTTTCCTTCTTCTCCTTTCCCTTTCTTTCCTTCTCCTTTCCCTTTCCATTCCTTTCCCTTTCTTTCCTTCTCCTTTCCCTTTCTTTCCTTCTCCTTTCCCTTTCCTTCTTCTGCTTTCCCTTCCTTTCCTTCTTCTCCTTTCCCTTTCCATCCCTTTCCTTCTTCTCCTTTCCCTTTCCATCCCTTTCCTTCTTCTCCTTTCCCTTTCCATCCCTTTCCTTCTTCTCCTTTCCCTTTCCATCCCTTTCCTTCTTCTCCTTTCCCTTTCCATTCCTTTCCTTCTTCTCCTTTCCCTTTCCATTGCTTTCCTTTTTCACCTTTCCCTTTCCATCCCTTTCCTTCTCCTTTCCCTTTCATTCCCTTTCCTTCTCCTTTCCCTTCCTCTCTTCCTTCATTCTACCATTCCTTTTTTCCTTTCTTGCCATCCCTCTCTCTTTTTCCTTTTTCGTTTTTTGTCTTCCTTTCCTCTACTCTTCTTTCTTTTCCCTCTTTTTTGTCTCTCGCTCACTTATTTATCTTCCTGCCATCCTGCTTTCCTCTTTTCCTTCCTTTAGTCTCACTTTTCACTGACAACTTCCTTTTTCCTCCTCTCCTCTCCCTTTTCATTTAATTCATTTCTTGTTTCCTTCTTTCCTTCATCTTTTCTTTCCCATCATTTCTCATGAACAGAGTACAGAAGATCTCCATCCATAAACAGTGATTGCGGCCGCCATCGGCTCCTTGTCTGAGTGGCGCTATTTGGTGTTTATCGGAGATTTATGGAGCTTATGAAGCCAGCCGGAGCTCAGGCCTTGTCCCAGACAGGTGGCGGAGATGTTTATGGATGTACGTTGGGGACCCCTCTCGTAGAACACACCAATCTCCGCGCCTATTTCCACCCGATCGGAGGCGAGAAGTGACTCCGCCGAGTGATTTATGCCGGATTATCCGGCACAGAACTGGAAAAGGCTCTAAGTCATGGGACAAATTCATTTTCATAAATTGAGAACAACAGACGCGGAGCTGGAAGGTACATCTGGCTCTCCATGACTCTACATTATTTTCTGAGAGGATCTAGATATGAAATTCCTTATAAATTAAAATCTGCAACACGGGCAGGAAGTCGATGGTGAAAAACATCGGGGGATATTTACAGTGCGTGTTTAACCCCTGTGCTGCTGGGGGGCTGTGAAGTCAGTGATAGCCTGGAAGTTTCCAGTCATGGTAAAGGGAAACTATTATGTTTGGGTCAGTTTTATCGACTATTATCATTTTAAAAGTATTATTTTTATCTCTCTGTCTGGATATTTAGCCTCCCATTCAGTCTTGCACAGGCGTACCATTTCCTCCCCTTCAGTCTTGCACAGGTGTACTGGCTCCTGCCCTTCAGTCTAGCACAGGTGTATCGGCTCCTCCCCTTCAGTCTTGCACAGGTGTATCAGCTCCTCCCCTTCAGTCTCGCACAGGTGTACTGGCTCCTCCCCTTCAGTCTAGCACAGGTGTGTCAGCTCCTCCCCTTCAGTCTAGCACAGGTGTATTGGCTCCTCCCCTTCAGTCTTGCACAGGTGTACCATTTCCTCCCCTTCAGTCTCGCACAGGTGTACCGGCTCCTCCCCTTCAGTCTTGCACAGGCGTACCGGCTCCTCCCCTTCAGTCTTGCACAGGTGTACCATTTCCTCCCCTTCAGTCTTGCACAGGTGTACCAGCTCCTCCCCTTCAGTCTTGCACAGGTGTATCGGCTCCTCCCCCCTTCAGTCTTGCACAGGCATACTGGCTCCTCCCCTTCAGTCTTGCACAGGTGTACTGGCTCCTCTCCTTCAGTTTTGCACAGGTGTACTGGCTCCTCCCCTTCAGTGTTGCACAGGTGTACCGGCTCCTCCCCTTCAGTGTTGCACAGGTGTACCGGCTCCTCCCCTTCAGTGTTGCACAGGTGTACCGGCTCCTCCCCTTCAGTCTTGCACAGGTGTACTGGCTCCTCCCCTTCAGTCTTGCACAGGTGTACCGGCTCCTCCCCTTCAGTCTTGCACAGGTGTACCGGCTCCTCCCCTTCAGTCTTGCACAGGTGTACCGGCTCCTCCCCTTCAGTCTTGCACAGGTGTACTAGCTCCTCCCCTTCAGTCTTGCACAGGTGTACCGGCTCCTCCCCTTCAGTCTTGCACAGGTGTACCGGCTCCTCCCCTTCAGTCTCGCACAGGTGTACTGGATCCTCCCCTTCAGTCTTATACAGGTGTACTGGCTCCTCCCCTTCAGTCTTGCACAGGTGTACTGGCTCCTCCCCTTCAGTCTTGCACGGTTGTAGCGGCTCCTCTCCTGGACTGGAATGGCTTCCTCTGATGTCACTGCACACTGGGAGTCTCTCACAATGTGCATTAGAAGCTGCATCCAGTCAGATAGAGCTCCGCCTCATTTCCTGGCAGGAAGATGTCCAGCATCATCTAAATACTCTATTCAAAATTTGAATCTTGAAAGACAGTTATATTCTATGTTATTCTATTCTATTGTTTGTTTTCTATTCTATTCTTTTCTAGTCAGTTCTATTCTATTCTATTGGAATTCAAATTTATTCTATTCAAGATTTGATTTTCGGAAGACAGTTATATTCTGTTTTATTCTATTCTATAATTATTTCTATTCTATGCTATTATTTTCTATTCCAATATTTTCTATTCTATTATGTTCTATTATATTCTATTATTTTCTATTCTATTCATTTCTATTCTTTTATATTGTATGCTCTTCTATTGTTTTTATTAATTTTATTTATTTCAGGTGCTTATATAACGCCGTCAATTTTATGCAGCACTTTACATATATATTGTACATTCATATCAGTTCCTAACCCTCAAGGGGCGTACAATCTAAGGTCCCTAACTCACATTCATATGTACATATGCCAGGGACAATTTAGACAGGATCCCGATAACCTGCCAGTCTTTGGAGTGTGGGAGGAAACTGGAGTACCCAGAGGAGACCCACACAGGCACAGGTAGAACATGCAAACTCCAGGCAGGTGGTGCCATGCTGGGATTCGAACCAACGACCCTAGTACTGCCAGGCGGAAGTGTATTCTATTCATTTCTATTCTTTTATTATCTATTCTTTTCTATTCTAATCTATTTTATTCTATTATTTTAAGTTCTATTCTATTCTTTTCATATTCCTATTCAATTCAAAGTCAAGTCAATTCGATTTGAATTTGAATTTCAGAAATTCGAAGACATCTAAATGTCCAAATAACAAAAAAAATTTTCTGAATTCGAATCCAGAACGAAACAAATTTGCTTGTCTACGTCTCTGGCCCATCCCTTACGTTCATCGGATTTCAGCTCTGACAAATGTGGAGGCTCAGCATGACATGTGGGTGTTGCCTAGAGCGTCTAGAATAACATCCACCCAATTTGATATTTGCATAACTCCTCCCAAGAATTATCAGTCCTGAAGCAAGCAGTGGGCTGGCTCTTTGGAGGAGTTATGCAAATATTAAAATGGTCGGCTGTCAATCTAGAGGAGTGGGTGGTCCTGCCTCATTACTCCTCCCAACAGCCAGCCTCCTGCTTGCATCAAGACTGAAGACTCTTGGGAGGAGTTATGCAAATAATAAAATTGGTGGCTGTCAATCTAGAGGAGTGGGTGGTCCTGCCTCATTACTCCTCCCAACAGCCAGCCTCCTGCTTGCATCAAGGCTGAGGATTTTGGGGAGGAGTTATGCAAATATTGAAATGGTTGGGTGTCAATCTAGAGGAGTGGGTGGTCCTGCCTCATTACTCCTCCCAACACCAATCTTCCTGCTTGCATCAAGACTGAGGACTTTGGGGAGGAGTTATGCAAATATTAAAATGGTTGGGTGTAAAATCTAGAGGAGTGGGTGGTCCTGCCTCATTACTCCTCCCAACACCCATCTTCCTGCTTGCATCAAGACTGAGGACTTTGGGAGGAGTTATGCAAATATTAAAATGGGTGGCTGTCAATCTAGAGGAGTGGGTGGTCCTGCCTCATTACTCCTCCCAACAGTCAGCCTGCTGCTTGCATCAAAACTGAGGACTTTTGGGAGGAGTTATGCAAATATTACAATGGTTGGGTGTCAATCCAGAGGAGTGGGTGGTCCTGCCTCATTACTCCTCATTACTCCTCCCAACAGTCAGCCTGCTGCTTGCATCAAGACTGAGGACTCTTGGGAGGAGTTATGCAAATATTAAAATGGGCGGCTGTCAATCTAGAGGAGTGGGTGGTCCTGCTTCATTACTCCTCCCAACAGCCAGCCTCCAAATATTAAAATGGGCGGCTGCCAATTTGCATTCTTAGGACACCCTGCCAAGAGCCATCCCATCAGGACAGAGGTCTCTTAAGAGGAGTACCGAAACAGGGAGCTGCAATGTTTTCAGGAGACTATGTACAGCACCCTGCCAGCCCCTCCCACCAGCCACGATCTGCCTATATTGCATAGAGGAGCACAGAGACCCAGTAATGATATAAAAAAAATATGTATGTAGCGAAAAGCGGAAGGTTTTATTTAAAAATAAGGGGAACAGGAGAAATCAGGCATTGAATATTATGTTTTGTGGTTTTGGATGATAATCAGTCCCATGCTTTTTTTATGTATCCCGCGGTAAACAAAATTCTAGGCTTGGAAAAAAACATGTAAAAGAAAAAAAAAAATCCAGGTTGGTAAGTATAATCTGCGATAAAACTTCCCAGATGCCAAAATCAAAGGACTGGGTTATGCTAGAAAGACCTGCAACCCATTGGGAGGGTCCCCGGGAGATACCCCCGGGATCTGGATGAAGGATCGGATTTACTTTGTGACAACGTCTTCATACATTTTACAATGGAATTGATTTCCAAACCCGCCTGAACCTCCACAGAGCACTTCTCCTGGAAACAAAACACCGACGTCTCTTGTGGTGCCGTTTGTTGTTCCCATCTGAGGTGAGAAATTTAGTTAAAAGAAAAAGTCGGCTTTTGTTCGTAATCGAATAATATGGCGGATGTGGAATCGTTGTAAATGATAGAGCTCGGTTTATGATGGTGCCAGGGGCGGACTGACCAATTGGAAACTCGGGCACTGCCCGAGGGCCCGGGGTCAATAGGGGGCCCCATGAGATGCCCCTGGTACCTTTTTCATAGGCTTTTTTGAGTTTGGGCAAAGACACAGGGGCCCCATGATCCCCTATTGCCCGGGGGCCACATGAGTTGTCAGTCCGCCCCTGGTTGGTGCTTGAGGATTTTATGGACCATTGTCTACCTGTGCTATGGGAGTGGTGGTCACCATACTAGGTAGAGGGGGCATTGAGTGCAGCCCCTGACATCACCCAAGGGCTGCATATAATAATTAGTATCTGTAATGCTACAAGAGATGGTCAGAGACTGCAGACATACTACAGGAGACGGTCAGAGACTGCAGACATACTACAGGAGACGGTCAGAGACTGCAGACATACTACAGGAGACGGTCAGAGACTGCAGATATAGTACAGGAGATGGTCAGAGACTGCAGATATAGTACAGGAGATGGTCAGAGACTGCAGACGTACTACAGGAGATGGTCAGAGACTGCAGACATGCTACAGGAGATGGTCAGAGACTGCAGACATGCTACAGGAGATGGTCAGAGACTGCAGACATACTTCAGGAGATGGTCAGAGACTGCAGATGTGCTACAGGAGATGATCAGAGACTGCAGACGTACTACAGGAGATGGTCAGAGACTGCAGACATACTTCAGGAGATGGTCAGAGACTGCAGATGTGCTACAGGAGATGATCAGAGACTGAAGACAGAGTACAGGAGATGGTCAGAGACTGCAGATATACTACAGGAGATGGTCATAGACTGCAGACATACTACAGGAGATGGTCAGAGACTGCAGATGTGCTACAGGAGATGATCAGAGACTGCAGACAGAGTACAGGAGATGGTCAGAGACTGCAGATATACTACAGGAGATGGTTGGAAACTGCCAATATATTACAGGAGATGGTCAGAGACTGCAGGCATAGTACAGGAGATGGTCAGAGACTGCAGACATACTACAGGAGATGGTCAGGGACTGTAGATATATTACAGGAGATGGTCAGAGACTGCAGACATACTACAGGAGATGGTCAGAGACTGTAGATATATTACAGGAGATGGTCAGAGACTGCAGACATAATATAGGAGATGGTCAGAGACTGCAGACATAGTACAGGAGATGGTCAGAGACTGCAGACATAATATAGGAGATGGTCAGATACCGCAGACATACTAAAGGAGATGATCAGAGACAGGGGCGGACTGACAACTCATGGGGCCCCCGGGCAATAGGGGATTATGGGGCCCCTGTGTCTTTGCCCAAACTCAAAAAAGCCTATGAAAAAGGTACCAGGGGCATCTCATGGGGCCCCCTACTGACCCCGGGCCCTCGGGTAGTGCCCGAGTTTCCAAATGGTCAGTCGGCCCCTGGTCAGAGACTGCAGACATATTACAGGAGATGGTCAGAGACTACAGACATGATACAGGAGACAGTCAGAGACTGCAGATATAGTACAGGAGATGGTCAGAGACTACAGACATAGTACAGGAGATGGTCAGAGACTACAGACATGATACAGGAGACAGTCAGAGACTGCAGATATAGTACAGGAGATGGTCAGAGACTACAGACATAGTACAGGAGATGGTCAGAGACTACAGACATGATACAGGAGACAGTCAGAGACTGCAGATATAGTACAGGAGATGGTCAGAGACTGCAGACATACTAAAGGAGACGGTCAGAGACTGCAGACATAGTACAGGAGACAGTCAGAGACTGCAGACATAGTATAGGAGATGGTCAGAGACTACAGACATAGTACAGGAGATGGTCAGAGACTACAGACATGATACAGGAGACAGTCAGAGACTGCAGATATAGTACAGGAGATGGTCAGAGACTACAGACATAGTACAGGAGATGGTCAGAGACTACAGACATGATACAGGAGACAGTCAGAGACTGCAGATATAGTACAGGAGATGGTCAGAGACTACAGATATGATACAGGAGACAGTCAGAGACTGCAGATATAGTACAGGAGATGGTCAGAGACTGCAGACATACTAAAGGAAACGGTCAGAGACTGCAGACATAGTACAGGAGACAGTCAGAGACTGCAGACATAGTACAGGAGATGGTCAGAGACTGCAGACATACTATAGGAGACGGTCAGAGACTGCAGACATAGTACAGGAGACAGTCA